CTTTAAACCATCATCATTACCATTCTTCGTTGAATGTACCGAGTTTCTTCCCGTTTCAAAGTCGAGTCAGCATCTCCCCGACCGACTCAGATGAACGAGCCAACTGGTGTGACTCACCAACTCTTTCTTCCTCGAGAGTAGGATATAATAACAGCTCGGTGAATGCGTTATCGGAAGAAAACGAAAGGCTAAGAAGAAACAACGATCTGCTCATGTCTGAACTAGCACATATGAAGAAGCTTTACAATTACATTATCTACTACGTTCAAAACAATGTGAAGCCCGTTACTCCAAGGAATTCTTACTCTGCCTCTCTCATGTCTCGTCCTCCATCTTCATTATTACAGAAGCCATTGAACCAGCTTGTCGGGTATTATCCGAACGGCCCGAAGACCCAAGTTCAGGTCTTGAACTCTCCGACAGCAACGTCCCAGAGCTCGTTAACCATTGTCGAAGAACTGAGCAGCAACAGTTGTAAAACAAAGCTGTTTGGTGTACCTTTACAATCGAAGAAGAGATTGCATCCCGACTATAACAATACTGCAACAAACATGGAGACTAGCAAGGCACGTTTGGTCTTGGAAAAAGATGATCTACGGTTAAATCTTATGCCTTCTTCTACATGTTAGTTTTCCCATTATTTTGAATGTGTACAATACTATAAGCTGAAAGTGAAGATCAAAAGCGATGTCTATTTTCTTAGTTTTCCATTGGTGCAAAACACCTCTTGGTGATTCTGTGTGTTTCCAGTTGCATTAATGGAGAAAGAGAGAGTGAAAATGAAAATGCTGTGTGTCGATGAAAATTTCTCCAGGGCTTTCTTTTGATTACTCAATTAATGCATGATACGTACAAACATGCTTTTCATCTGGATTCAGAACCCCATACAGATAAACACATTCGATTCTGGGTTTTCAATGATATAATTATCACCGACTATTATTGTGGAGTAAAAAGATGTCTTGTTCCCATGAACTGTTACACCCCACATGAAAAAAATGTGCATTTTTGGTTTGAGATTATAGAATTAGATTGGACTAAAAGAACAAAAACACTGAATGATTCGAGTGATTCTATGCTTGTTCAAAGAAAGAAGCAGAAACGTACGTTTGCTTAAGACAAGGCCCTTGAGTGGTAGCTAAACAAATTGAAAAGCTTGTGTGTTTCTAATAGATTTAAGGTGTCCCACTGCCCAAAATTGTGTATAAATTAGTAAAGTTTTACATAAAGTTTCTTTGCTCTTTCTCGAATGTTGTGATGCATAAAAGTTTTGAATATAAAAAGAGTAAAATTCTTACAGTATCTTTGTCGCGCCTATGATTTCTTTTCCGACAAATTTATTTTAAAAACCTTAAATAAACAATTATTTAAAAAATAGGACACTACAGAGGTTATTCAGAAGAAAAATCTTCAAATCATCCGCATCGGATGACCTCGCGGTATGCGTGTTACATTTTTTGCATCCTTTAACACGCGAGATACAGACGTAGATGTACTTTTCAAGTAAACTAATAAATAATTAGATAAAATGACATTATGTATTACGAAGCTCGAGGTAGCTTTTATGATCTAAAATATCGTGAGATTTATAAGATACCTAGCGGGTTGCAAATCGCGAAGTTCTTTTGGATTCCGTATAACAAACTAATTTTAAACGTAAAAACAAAATTATATTATAATAAATAAATAAACATAATAATTAATAATATTAATTATTAAATATAATAAATAATTAAAATATAATAATATATAAATATAGTAATTAAAATATATATTTTATAAAAAATAATTATAATATATTTTGTAAATTTTGAAATAATGAAAACTTATAAATATAATAATAATAATAATAACTAATAATATTAATTATTTTATATTAAATATAATAAATAATTAAAATATAATAATTAAAATATATATTTTATTAAAAAATTATAATATATTTTGAAATTTTTGAATTTTGAAATTTGAATTTGAATTAAATCAATCTTGCGTCTTACAAAATGAGAGGTACTACGAATTCCACGTGTTTTTCAGTACCTCGCGTCTTGCAGGACGCGAGTTGCATTTAAAATTGCATTTCCCCGAGTGCGAGAATGGTTATATATTGGGTCGTCCACTCCTTTTCATCACCACACCCATCCCTTTCATATATTTAAAGATTCAAATATTTCATATCATGACGACGAATCTATTAAGACAAAATCGAAGTCACGTATTCGACTATTGGAGACGAAACGATGAGGTAAATTAATTAATATTATTTCAATTTTTAATATTTATTTATTGATTTAGTTATTTTTTTGGTATTTAAATAATTTTTTAATATTTATATTTCGTAGGGATATGAACGTGTATTATAGTGTCATATAAATCGCGTGACACCATCCGATGCGAATATTATTGAGTATTTACATTTAGCAAGTAATAAATCAGCAGGACTGACACGATGTACAAGTGTGAATTAGTCACCAGAATGCCATGCGGTATGCAGTTGGCAATAGCAGCAGCGCAATAAGGCGTCCACATGAACTATATAATTAAAATTACATAACTTTGTTAGCTAAAAACCTCAAATAAATTAAATTATTCTAAAATTATAAGATAAAAGTCGAAGAAAAATATTTTATTACATGTTTCGTAGGGATATGAACGTGTATAATTTTCTGGTATTTATTCGATGATTTCTCATCTAGACGATATTCTATGTATATCCCTGTTGCGGATGACGTCTCAACACATATCTGAGACATTTTTTACTGGTGTGCGTGATGTTGATCTTGGGAAACCAATTTGTAAGCGGTCTCGTGATCAACAAACATCTACAATAACAATTAATTTTGATTTAAACAAAGTTAAATTATTTTCACATTTAACCCGTTCAATGATTTCTCATCTAGATAATATTTAATGTATATCCCTATTACGGATGACGTCTCAACACATATGTGATATATTTTTTACTGGTGTGCGTAATGTTATATTGGGAAACCAATTCGTAAGCAGTCTCGTGATCAATAAATATCTACAGTAACAGTTAACTTTGATTTAAACAAAGTTAAACTATTTCTAAATACATAAAAGGAATCGTCTGTCTTTTCAAATGTACGATTTATCACTGAAAAAGCTACAACACACAAAACATTTATTAATTAAGGTTCATTGAATCTGTCATATCGTGGGTCAAGATTCATTTTGGAAATATTTGTCTAATTTTGATTTTGCAGTAATGAACCTTGTTCTTTTTATTGTGAATCTATAAATATTTTACTACGCAACACCAAAATTACAACCTAATTAATATTGTTGTTGAATGAAAACATTGTCGGTAAAGACTACATAGAAAAAGAAACTGGCTCACACATTAGCTTGCACATGGCTAAACAATAACCACACATGCCTGTCCCTCAGTTCTCTTAATGTTTGTATATAATCCCAAAACCTTGGTCCTTCCGTTAAGAAAACTCCGGCATGGTGGCCGGACGGTGATGAATGGTGGTGGCTGAGAGAGGAATAGTGAACGTCTATGACTTTAGTTTATGATAGTATTTAATTTTTATTATATTTTTATTATAATTTATGGTAGTTACGAAGTAGTATTTATTCAAAATATTTTTTAACCATTGACATTAATACACTTATCCTTATAAGCATAATTACTTGAATAGGAATTCTTAAAAAAAATTAATCATTAAAATTATTTGATGGATTCGATTAACATTTTATTTATAAAACTTTATATTAACAAAGAAATAAAAATGAATTGATCTATAAATTGTCACCGAAAAATTTACTCAAATAGCATCAACTCATCTATAATTTCTTCAAAATATATTCCTTTTCACTTAGTTGGTTTATGAATTGAAAGTGTACTTTTGTATTCCTTATTCTTTACCTATCTTTCTTTTCTTCTTTTACGTTATTTCATCCATAATTCTTTTAAGAATTTTCTTCTTTCTTTTGCATTGTTCTTCTCCTCATTTATTTTGGACCTTCTTTTTATTGGATACAATATGAAACCCTTCTTTGAGTAATGTGAGGCCCTTCGTTACTAGATGAACTTGACTAATTGATTTTTTAACTCATTTTTAGTTAAAAATTCCCATTTGAAACATGGTTATTGTCTTAAATCAAGAAATTGAAATAAAAAATGATGCTTTTGTGTTAAAAAAAACTCGTTCAAAAAGTATTCCCAAACGAAGTCTAATCCTTTTTTATCCAAAGTGTTTTTAACCAATAAATCCTAAAAAGTATGGTTTTTTTATTAATCTAGGGAGATGACTGGTAGCATTTGTTCAAAATGTATTCCCAAACGAAGTCTAATCTTTTTTTTATCCAAAGTGATTTTAACCAATAAATCCAAAAAAGTTATGTTTTTTTATTAATCCAGGGAGATTACTGGTAGTATGTGTTATTTTGACTCTTAACCATTTGATAAAGAACACTCATGCAGTTGTTGATGCTCGAACCCAGAATTTCTAACAATAGTCCCTTTAATCACTCAAATTGTTTGGTTCGTGCAAGAATTAATTATAGGCCACTTGTCTTATAAGAGTTATGTTTTTAAATAAGAATTAATTATATATTCAGTAGTGAATCCATGATTTTGTTAAACGGGAACCATAATAAAATCATAAATTTTTCAGAGAATCAATTTTTCAGTGGACTAATTTAAAATTTCATGACTTTTAAGGGGATTATAGAACAAATTTCTCATTTTTAGGGGCAAAAGCCACTGTCTCCCTACATCCCCCTGTATACATTTAATATTTGTGTTAGAAATCTGATTTGATCAACGAAGTGCATTTGATTTGCTAGGAAAGAAAAAAATATATAAATTATAAGATTCAATGATAATAATAATTGACAATCATATTTGTGGATTTTTCTTAATGTTATTTGAATCGAATATATATATATTTATTATAAAGTTTGATACGTCAATTATGCATATCATGCGACTTAAACCATATTCATATTATTTAATCTAACTAGGTTTAAGAGATGAATGACATTTCCATTCCAGGGACAACTACTTGAAAGGTTAATCTACATACATACCAAGCATACAGTAGCTTAATAATTGAACATTTAGGAAAATATTTAAGTCCAAAGGCATGGCAATTTGGGTTCACCTTAGATCGAGGCAGCGGTGCTTCATTCAGGCACGGTGACTCCGGTTTGGCGTCGAGTATAATAGTTGCTTCCTGTACAATATTTGTCATGTCAGGCGGATTTTATTCTTCAGACTGGGTTACACATAAGGTGGAACAGTTAAGCCAGAAATTCTGGAAAGAAACCATTGATTCAAGCAGAAATTACCAAACATTTGAGGACTGATTGAACCGGTAAAAGATGGCTGAGGCCTTAGAATGCATGGCAGGTGAAGCAGCCACTCAATGAACCCATCTGGCGGGTTCTATGGAACGATATAGCCTTATGTGCTGACCTTGTAACTTGATGGAACTCGTTGGCTATCATTGATCTTCTCATTTCTTGAGCCCTCTTCTGGGCTGAGCTCAGCTTATTCATTATCTTGTCCATTGTCGACGATCTCTTCTTTTCCAGCTTCATCTGAAATACAGTATTCCGCTAGTAATGGTAAGGATAATAGCTTCATCGATCTTGCTAGATCTGATGCAGTTTTCCCACACATCATTAAAATTTGCAGTCATGAGTATGATTGTTTAGTGGTTCTATATTAACAACGAATATTAAGAACGTACAGAACCAAAACTTATGCCCAGAGAAATCAATTTTTAATAGAGTACTTAAGAGAAAACCAACCTCTAGTTTCCTTATGGCAGCCTCAGCTTTGGCTTTCTGCAGGTTCTCCCATGCAACGATTTTTGCTTCTTCTCTTTTGATCCTGCAAAAAATGAGAGAAAGATGTTGAAATGTGAAAATCGAGCAAATCTGTCCTATAAACATTTCAATTCTTCTTGGGTTCTCTTGATAAGTTTTTGATATTTGAACCTGTAACACGGAGAATTGATTTAACCTAACAAACTAGGTTAGGATTTTCTTGATTAAAGTAACAAGTTGGATGCAGTTTCTAAGGCGGATCCAGAAAATGAAAAGAAGGCAAATCTCACGCATTCTAGCATCTAAAAACTGTAGCTTCAAAAAAAAAAGCATCTAAAAACTGACACGAGGATCAAAATTTTGGCTAAATTAACCTTTTTACTACAATCATTCAAAGCCGGTCTTCATGGAAGAAGGTAAATGAGGTTTAAACATAAAAAATGTTCAGAGTGGAAAATTTTAGCTTTTACTGAAGGGATCTTGAATATCTACTCATTTCATTGAGGCATTCCAAAGTGTTGATCTATAATCTTATAAAAAATACTGAATAGTACAAAAGAAATGGAAGCATAGTAACAACCATACTTGGAAATGCGTTCTGCTGTCTCTGTCATATCCCAGGACGATATAGGAGTGTCAACTGCTCTATTTCTCCGGTCATCTACAATTTCTGTGCTCGTCCCACTGTTTCGAACTCCATGCTTCTTTGACCTCCGAGTCATGGTGTCTCTTTCATCCACCTGGACATCTCTCACTTCTGATTTAGAGCAATGAAAGCTCTGCAGTTCCATTATACGTAGAGCAGTAGGAGTGGGGGGAGAAAAAGGCCTTCCTTTAGGAGACTGGGTGCTACTCCGTGTGTTCATTTGGGTCACCGCATCTCTTCTTGAGACAGTATCAGAAATATCGAAGACTGCATCCTTGGTTGCATCAAGATTTTCTTCTGCAGCTTTGATGGAAACTAATTGGAAATATGAGGCCAACGAAAGTAAAAAAGACAGCAATTTTTAGGCATCCAACCAAAAAATCATTTGCCATTCGGCGGAAAGGGCCAACTTGAATATAAGGCTACAGGTAATCCAAGAATTAACCAATGTAGGATGCCACCAGTTTAGCAGCAATTACCATAAAAACAAAAACCTATCTCTCAGTAGAACATGAAGTAAAGATTTGGAAAATCTCCATTTTCTCTTTTCACGGTTTGTATTAAAAATATAAACATCAAGCTTATGTTTTGGAAAATGTAGAGAGATTTAAATATGACTACTCACGTGCACTTGCCTTGATATGCAGATGTTCTTTAATGTTTGATGATTCCTATATCAAGGAGTAGTCTTTGCTTATATAATCAATATTCAGTCAATTCGGAACAATTTATAGGATAATATCATACAACTCATTATAAATGACATTTAACAGAGAAAAGGTTTTATATTCTTCTACTGAATCATGATTTCTGATTTGTTCATGATACATCAAATAAAAGTTCTAATTTAAGATTAACTTGGATGGCAAGACAAACAACATAGAGAACAAACTAAAATAATTGATCTCATAAATTTCAAAATGCACCCATAATGTACAAGAGGTCAATGTAAGCGAAAGCCCATATCATTATCTAACCCCAGAATTTTGTACGATAGAAATGGACATTACCTTGAGAAGGAAGCGATGAAGGGTTCACTAACCGAGAGCATCCATGCACACTGACAGAACGGGTCATACAAGGTTCAGTCTGAATAGCGAATCCTCCAGCAGGGCTACGGGAATGAATTGTTAAACCATTAGCTGCAATTGCACCAGCTGAGCAAGGAGAAACGGCCATAAATCTTCCTTTACGGCCTCCATCAAACATGTGAGTTGGAGGAGAGTACAAAGAATGGTAAGCGATCCCAGGAGAACCAAGTGGACCACTCTTTGATTTTGGTCTTCTTTGTGGATGCAAGTTCGATTGCCTCACACTGGCATCCCCAGAAACAGGACTGAAAATCCACCTCTCGGCATCTTCCCACTTTGAAGGCAAGGTCCTTCCATTGTTCAGAGGCAACACACCAGCAGCATTCCCTAGTCTCCTTCCACCATTGTTATGCAATGCCACACGTTCAGAACTCCAACCCTTCAGCATTCCAGAACTCAACTGATGATGATGATTGGGAGTCCCAGGACTAGGAATTGCATTCGATTTCCGTGTCGGAACAGTGCTTTTCTTCATAGTCCAAAACCGAGGAGACGATGCAGAAACATTGTTTTGATCTAATGAAGCTCTTCGCTTATCAGGATTCTTCAACAAAGCGTCAGATCTAATCTTCCTATCCTGACACTCTACATCAAACAAACCCAATTCACAATTGTTACCTTCTTGACAAAAAAAAATGCAAGCTAAAAAAACAATTTCAAACTGAAACTAAAGGGTACCTTTAATAGCAAGAGAGAATGAGTATATCGCTGAATCAGTGAGTAGATTTTCGTCCCCTATGCGAGCTGCATCGTTTTCTTCTTCTTGAACTGGTTATTATTTTGAAAGAGGAAAAAAGCAGGTGGACAATGACAGTGAGTGAGTGAATTTGAAATTTTTTGGATTTATTAGTTGTTTTCCTTCTTTTTCTTTCTTTTGGTGCAATTTCGGTCTTAACTTTTTCGAAAGAAACTAATAATGCAAGAAAAACTTTGCTACTTGCGAATGCCTTTCACTTTTTCACCTTTTCTGGAGAAACAATTGTGCTTATGGACTGTCATAGCTTTGTTTGGATCTGGATCTGGATCTGGTCCACTTGAACTCTCAATCTCATCTCCTCCATGTGCAGCCAAATGCTGCAAAAAGAAATTCACATTTCAAACGTTATTGTCCGGTTTCCCTCTTTTTTCCAAAAGGAATAAGAAGAAAAGAAAATTTATCAACATTCAACAGTGGTCGATCACAATGTAAAAATATTACAGCTTCCACTGTTTAGCATTGCACCAAGAAGTTGCAACAAAGCCATAAAAAAGGGCGTTGAAAAAGTGGAGAAGTTACTAAAGAGAGTTCGGAGGCGAGAGAATCGTGATTGTGAACATCGGAAGCAAACGAGCAACGATCGGCACTAGCGGAAGCCGAAGAAAAGAGACTAAAATTGGATTCCAAAGTGAATGTAACAGAGTCAGGGCTCTCATCTGGAGCTCTATAACCTGATCTCCAAAAGATTTTCTCTAGAAACCCCAGCTCCGCCATTTCCTTCAAAGCTCTCACTTCTTCATCTTCTTCAAATGTCCGCCATTTTTCATTTTTTGTTCTTTCCGCTCTATCTTTTTTTCTGTTGTTAAATATGGCGGGTTGGAATTAAAAGAGAACTTCAAAAAATAATACTTTGAAGTATACGATCCGAGTCCGTCCAGATTAGAGTAAAGCTTTGAAATTAGTAGACAATCAAAAGAAAAATAAAACAATATTATTAAAAAAATGTGTTATGTTTTTAAATAATGATAATTTGATTCTTTTTAATTAAATTAATATTAGTATAATATTGATTTCAATTAGTCTTTTAAATACAATATAAAGTATAAATATATATATTAAATTTATATTTATTACAAATAATAAAATTATTAATAACTAAATACTTTTTATTAATTGTATTTAAATCTTTAAATAAAATATAGTATTTAACATATTAGGAAAGTGTGTAAAAAAATTCAGCGTGTTTTTTTATTGGATTTTATTATATATTAAATAAATTATCACTTAAATTTTGAGTACAAATTCCAAAAAAATGGATGAGTACAAATTTAGTTTTAGGGAATAGGAATTTATATTTAATATTTAAAATCCAAATAGGCCACTCACTTGTTTCAGTCCCAGTAAATTAAACTAGACATGTTCAAAGATTGAATTATTTGTCTAAATTTGAAGATCCATATAATCTATAATCTGATCTGAATGTAATTCAACCAAATTCTTTTATTTTACTTGCAAAATAGATTTTAAAAATGAAGACTTGTGTTTCAATATCTCATAATTATGCTTATAGACATTAATTTGAACCTATTAAAGTTGAATTCATAGCCCATTTACATCTTTGTCTGAGTCCGATTGATAACTACTTAGTGGCATGCAGCTAATAGCCAACTCTACACCTTCAACTTTGTTAGGGATCAGAATCATAGTTTGTCAGTGTAATTGGTCCGAATCAGACGGTGCTTTAAATACCACCGTCAAATTTCACACTTATTTCATTATTACTACCTCAATGGTGCTTCACCTCGGAACTCTAAATTGGGGGGAAAAGAGTGTGCTGAACCGATGCTACTACGTGGAAACCATAGCATCCAACCAAAGGAACCCTCACACCATACAACCATGGTATATCAACCATACCCACAGTAGCCAATTTACATAAAGTTTCATCAAAGATTAACTCCACTAGCAACCGCTGTTACGGTTAACCCAATCTGATAGTCATTAATGCGTAAGTTCGTGAGTGACATTCAGTTAACATATGCGGTAGTAGTGGAGATGTTCATATTAAGTGCCATGCATGAGTTGCATTTGTGGCCAACAAGAGTGATCATTAGCTCTTTAGCTCAATTATTAGTTAGTTCAATAAGGTTTTGAAAGGAGTAAGAGTGAATAGAGGTAGTTGTGAAGCATAGCAGGCTGTGGATGAGGGGTAAGTAAGAGGCAATTCATATTTTAGCTTGCCTTCGCTTATAGTGTATGTGGTATAATCGCATGAAGCTTAAAGTCCGAGTGCTTGATGGGTGGTTACTGGAATTGGTCTTTTATTTATCATTCTATTTACCAGGCTAAGTGTGGTGTATGGTACCTCTGTTTAAGGTTAAGAAGACTCGGAATGCATCGTTGTTTGTTTAAGGTTCACGCAGGAATAATATTTTTCCGATAGTATATTTTTTTTTATTAAAATGGTGAGAATATTATTACATCCAAATTATCAGATATAAGATAATTTACACCACTTTAGACAATAAAATCCCTAAACTAATTAATTCTTTTTATAATGATACTTTTAAATTCTTATTTTTTTTGTATTTTACTCAAAATTATAAATATAACAATAATATACAAATAATTTAATTTAGTAAAATATTAATAAATTTGAATATTTAAAATTATAATATTCAATATATTAATTATTTATAATTTTATGAGGTAAAAAATAATATGATTGTAAAAATATAATTATTTAAAATGATCTCTAATTTTAATTTATTAAAAAATAGATCTTATGCATTGAAAAATAATATCATTGTCCACCCGAGATTATAATATTATTTTTTTCATATTATATTATATTTTACATAAATAAATATGATGATTATGAAAATTATTCAAAAATATAAGTTTAATACACTAATTATATATTAAATATTTTTTCTCAAAAGTTAGATAGTATAACGATTAAAATATTTCTATGAATTTTCATTGAAATATTTATAATTTATTATTAAAGTTTAACTTTTTTTTAAAGAATACCACAAAGATAATTTGGTAAAATGCACAATCAAGTATACCTTCAACTAAACACTATAATTTTATATTTATGCTAAACAAACCAAACAAGGTACTACATTATTCTCATAGTAATGATACATTTCATTAATGTTATTCTCAAAAGTAATCTTATCTTCTGTGAACCAAACGCCGTCATAAAATAAGTAAGAAGTAAAGTCCGTTCAAAAATATTTATTAATTATTTGACATTAGGTGTTTATACCGTTAACACTTACTAAAATTTAAGAATTATATATATCCTGATTTTTTTAAGGTTTAAAATATTTTGAAAATATTTAATATTAGTGACAGATCTAAAAATATTTTTTTAAAGTGAGCACACAAATATTAACAATATAATTTTTTTTAAATAGAAAGGGTATAAATAAAATTTCACGATGAGCACCGTTCATTTGCCTTCTCTTTTAAATACCCACCTGCTCTCATCGCCATTGCCATCCTTCCTTTCTCGCTTTTCTTTAATCATTTTCTGATCTTCAGAATTTAAAAAGCATCTTTCCTTCAGTGTTTTTTTTCCTCTTTAGAGGGTTTCAGGAGAACTGAGTCTTGGGCTAGTTCAGATGCATCTTCTTTTGAGTCGTTGACTCATACAAGGCCGATTTGCTCAACAGCAACAGGTTCCAAGCTTGATAAACGAACCATCTTTTTTCGGCGTTGTTGTTGTTGTTATTGATTTATGTACCGATGAATTTGAAGCGTGAGTTTTTTCTTTTACCCGGTTTAAAGGAAGTAACTTTGATTTGGGTTAGCTGGTGAAGCAGCTTTTTTAATCGTTTTCAATTATGCATGTTTCTCTTGATTTAATATTTAACTTTGTTTTGATTATTACGTACTGTTAATTCAGGGTTTATAACATTAGTTTTTATATCTTCTCATATTTTATAGTTCTATTTCAGGCTGTTTATTGTGTACTAATCTGTTTGTGTGAATAAATTATGTGTCGCCTTTGCCTTGTGCGAAATATTTCTGATTTTTAATGATAAAAATTGATAATACGACAGGATTCTTTGATGTCTGAATCTACATCTACAGAATGGACAGATGAGAAGCACAACTTATACCTTAAATCCATGGAAGCTTCATTTGTTGACTAGTTATTGGATTCTCTTCCATGGAAATCACAAAAGGAGAAGTTTCCAGGATCAAAATTATAAAGGCAAATGCATTCACTACACCAAAACAGGCTTTTTGAGGCGTTTTTTTTTACCTTTAACAGCGTTTATAAGCGCCGTTAAAAGTTTTTTTTTTACCTTTAACAGCGTTTATAAGCGCCGTTAAAAACACATGCGGCGTTAAGATAAATGCCGTGAAAACCGCCGTTGAAAATAATGCCGTTAAATTTCGCGGCGTTTTTTAACAAAAAACGCCGCAATAGGTATTGATCACACAAACGCCGCAATAGGTGTTGATATTTAGCGGTGTTTTTTAGACAAACGCCGCAATAGGTTATGATGTTTAGCGGCGTTTTTCTCATAAACGCCGCAGTAGGTGTTGATGTTTTGCGGTGTTTTCCCACAAACGCTGCAGTAGGTATTGATGTTTTGCGGTATTTTTGCTAAAAACGCCGGTAAAGGTATGTATATAACGGTGTTTCTAGGATAAAAACACCGCTAAATGTATGGAATATTACGGCATTTTTTGTTACAAACGCCGCTAAATAACACAGAATTTAACAGTCCTAAAAATTATGCTTAATTACCCCAAAACTATTTTTTCAACATGTTCCATTATCCAACAAACAAAAAAATAATAACATCAAATTCTATATCCATAACAAACAACATCAAATCCAATATAATAAATAAAAGTTTTCATTAACGTAATATAAGTTCAGTTAAACAAGGTTCAGTAGAATACTCATAACATAAATGAGACTACGATGGTGGATTCTGAGGTTGCGTTTTCTGAATCATCAGCATCATATCATTGAGTCGTTTTTCAAATTCTTCACATCTCTGCTGATATGTTGCTTCTCTCTGTGCTACAGCTGCTTCTCTCTGTGCTGCCGTTGCTTCTTTCTCTGCTTTCGCTGTTGCTTCTACTGCTGCTCTCTCTACTTCCCTTGCTTCATTTTCCACTTTCAAGTTAGCCATTTGTTGATCCATCTCAGCCAACTTTTCTTTTAAACGACTAACTTCTTGGTGGGAAGATCGAGACTATGATGACATGTACTGTGATGAATTGGATCCAAAATATTTGGTGGGAGTAACGAATGATCCTTGACAGCGCACCCGACCATATCTTTCAGGACCCAAAACATCATTAATAACTTGGCTTTCAATGTCATCATCATTAACAATACATTGACTCGAAGCAGTAACATGATACTCTGCCTTTTTCTCCCTCAATTTTTCCTAATAAAGTGAATAATTAATTAAAATAAAAAATGTCATGATACAAATATAAATATAGTCAGGTAAATTTAAAACATCTACCTAAAAAATGTATCATAATTTCTGCAGCGTCAGCAGTCATAAGAGTGTCATCCTTCTTCGTATGTATCATGTCGAAGAGTTGGATTCGACCAACTTTAGAACCAGATGTATTTTCCTACAATGTACCATAATCTAATTACTATGAGTTAGTATGTACATTAAATACAAAAAACTATTTCAATAATCTATAATACCTCCTCATGAGCTATACAAGCAAAACTCTTCGATCCAACCATGTGCGTAAACTTTTATTGTTGCCTACTAGCAACACCAACATGCTCTCGGTCCTA